CTCGTCATTGGAAAATGCCCCTCCAGAACGCATGACGAGTTAACTCGTCATTGAGTTTCGAAGACGACCCACGTAAATTGAAACCCAATGCATTTTTAACCATTTAACTGGAAATGACGAGTTAAAAATGAGTATGTAGTGATAGTATTAGATTTAAATAATAATAAAAAGTACATATTAAGGTGATTCAATGATATATTAAAAAATTAAAAGGAAACCGATCACTGAGTTCAATTTAATGTGATTTCCAATTACCGGAGATCGATATATGGGTCAATATTTGTATTGATTTTATAGTTACCGAATACTCGCAAACATTCAATCAAACCAATTTCACATTGTTAATAGTAATAAGAGTAATAGCGTCGTAAGAAGAATAATTTGAAAATAACATCCATTTCACTTTGTACTTATCCGCTATCAAATTAAAATAAATTTAATTGCGCGCAGACATAATTTATTCGTGCTCGTTAGCTGCAGTACGATATCCGGGACAGTGTCCGGTAACTCAGGCACGGTGAATAGTTCTGCAGTTTACACTGTGTTCGCTAATTACGACAAAATTTGTTTTTACTTCATTTACATTTTTACTTTATATCACTTTAATATTTTATTTTTTATTTGATTTAATAAGTCCCGAACTTATCCAAAAAATTCCCAGAATAAATAAAATATTATGTTGAAATTTCTCAACAGCTTTCATGCCATATACTGAATATCCGATATATGGGTCATTTATCCTAAACAAATCAATATCCACGATGATGTACATTTTGGAGTGACATTCTGCTTAATCGTTCGAGCAAGGAAAGAGAATATTTTCTACATTCTTCAATACCAAATAATTGCCACATTTTCTTTATTAACATCTCTAATTCCTTTATATCGTGTGGCGCATTTTCTACAATACGTAATTTCAAAATAGACCACATGTTTTCATTTGCAGTTTAATCAGTTTAATTCAAAAAAATCCCGGGATAAATAAAAAATTATTTTCTCAACACCTTTCATGCCACGCACTAAATATCCGGTACATACAGTGACTCACGAAATTGATCAAATACTTTCCATCGTTATACTTTTTATTTAATCAATAATTTAAGTTGTTATCTTTAAGAAGAAAGAAAGAAAGAAAGCTGTATTTCAAGAAAACTAGGAACATTGTTACTATGAGTTCAATTTCGCGAATCACTGTAGGTCCTCTGCTTTAGCCTGGATCTTACAAATCATGAAAATTAATATTCTGTTCTGTATCTCGGTCCTTTACTCTAGATTCTAGATATAATTCGTAGGAAATGCTGGTATCCATGGATGTGTTAAAATTATAATTACGCGAACTGGTGGCGCGAGTGCGTGGCAGGAGCAACGAGGCAGCAGCGTTATCGCGGCTTCACGGTCTATCGCATTGTCGGTTGCTCGTGACTGTTCGTCTTCATCAGCGGTTTTTCATGGAAAAAAGAGGCGCGCGATATCGCGCGCGGTTTGTCACGCGCACGCGGCTACGCGCACACGGCTACAAGGGAAGTTCACACGCGAAAGAGCGTGACCAGAGCGTTGCCGGAAAAGGAGGCAGGCATGCGTGAGAAATGGCCGCTCGTCGAAGCCGGATCAACCAGCCGATTCGAAACGAAGAGAACAGAATTAACGGTGGCCGATGTCGGCTGCCCGTCGCGAAAACTTTTCGCCTCGTCGAGATCGAGAAACGATAGCCTGTAATTAATAGAACGTTGAAAACTTTTAACGAGAAAATATTGAGGCCTGCGCTCCGCTTCGATTTCCTTCGGCCCCTCACCTCCTGACGCGATAATTGATCGCGGTATTCCTTGCGGCAGCAGTACAAATACTGCTTTTCTTTTCTGCTCTATAATATTCACCAATCATTTTTTTTTAATCGCATACCGAAAGTATGTATTTTTGTTTCTCCCCTTAAAGGTCCCTTAACCCTTTAACTGCGTTCGACGTGTATACACGTCGAACCAAATCTCTATTGCGGTGCGGTTGACGCGTATACTCGTTGTGTGAAATAAAAAATTACCATTGATTATAAAAACTCGAAATTTCAATAAAATGTAACAAGAATATTATTTGGTGGTGTGTTTCCTTTATATTGCCAATAAAACTGTTATGTATTTTTAACCGACTTCGAAAAGGAGGGGGTTACTCAATTCGATCAGTATTTTTTTTTTTTTTTTTTTTACAAAAAGAGTTTGATTATTCTCTTTGTTGTATCGAATATTCTCAGTATAATGCATTACTTGTTACAAACTGAGTTAATTATTTTCCCCAATGCATCTGGTATTCTTCGAACTGTTTTGTATACTATACTGTATATTTTATCTTTTTTCTTTAATTTTTCTTGTTTATGAATTTTATTATTTTTTGATAATTTTTAAGTTTTTAATAATAATAACCTTTTCAACGATGAATTACTAATTTTTTATTGAATAAAAATGTAATCCTTCCCCGTTTTACTTTACTTTCTTCGTAAAATTTATAATAGGATCATTTGCCCTGCGTTCGACGTGTATACTCGTCATTGCTTGATTTTAATTCCTCACTCTGTGGGGGATTTTTAAAACTAAATTCCACAATTATCAGGTTAAAGGGACCCTTAAAGGTCCAGAAGTGTTTCAAGTTTACATACCGTTGGTCCAAGCTATTTTTCATATAAAAAGAAATTATTTACTGAAGATTGTTATATCAAGTATAGAGAGGAAATATTTATTTTTTAGTAAAAATTCATTGATATATTTTCAGAGTATGTAATAAGATAACAAGATGATTTAAGTTTTATATTTTTTCAGACTATGGTACTTTTCGAAGCACTCTTCATATGTATCCCTGGCTTGCAGGTGCAAATATGGCAATAAAATTTTGTTTCGCCTCTTCTTCCTGGAACCGAACGTACTGTACAGTAGGGTGGGCCGAAAAAATTCAAATCTTTTTTTTTCAAATCGTAATACCGCGGTGCTAGTGTAATTAGTGTTGACCCTTAAGTAGATCTTCTACTTTCTCGAACAGGAAAATTCAGAAATCATTAGGCCACTGTATCTTTTGGAAAAAGTAAGGCAATCTTCACAGGATTTTTGGATATTTTTATTGAAGATCTTTTTTTCAACACAAAATACTTTCTATCTTTTTAATTGGAACATTAAGATTTAATATCATTCTATTTCCTTCACCTCTACAGTTTCTATTCTTCTTTTCGAAACTTCTGTTTCGCAAATACAAATTCAAACCCCGACATGTAAAAACATTTCTATAATTAATATTCATCATCACAAAAGATTTGCTTTTAGAAAATGAAAAGAACATCTGTTAGTGAATCAATGGTGTTATCCTTCGATCAAGTTCATTCGGTTTATATTACAAACCCGACGTCACAAAAGCCTCGTTAAGCGTATCGATTGTCAGAGGGGAAAGAAGCGTGTAAAAAAACAATTCCTCTACAATTTGACTAGCAAGATTCAAGATAAAACGGTTGAGCATGATTCGGTCTGCTCACGGATGTGTCTGCCACCGTATCCGGGGGTTGTAAGTTCACGTATCAGCCGGAATGGCTGGAAGTTTCATGCTACAGCAGCATTACGTGGCACAAAGTCCCGTTCTCGTATTACGAGCCGTGTGAGGCTGAAACGGGGGCGTGGGGCTTATAACAGGGTACGCGTGCCCCATCAGGCCGCACGTCGCACATTGTGTCTTCTTACCGGCCACCTTAGACCCAGTCACGTCGAAGCCGCACTACCGTTCATAAGTATCCGGACATTTGGTAACTTTGAAATAACGATACAGTAGACTCGCGTTATATTGCCGCGTACGGACCTGCAGCCGGCTGCAAGGGCGAAAATTTTTCAAATTTTCAGGTGGAGGAAGAAGGAAAGATTAAAATGCACCATTTTCGTAGGCTGATGGTGGAAGAGTGCCACTAGTCGAAGAGAAGGTACGAATATAAGATAGGGTAGATTTTGCACGATTTGACTAATTGTTGCCGAACGACGGAAGGCATCTTTTTTATGTAGCCAGAAATATTATTGTTCGATAAGGGTATTGTGACACATTAATGTAGGAAATAAAAGAGACACGCATTCCAGAATATTCTGGTACCTGCTGCCGATGGCAGGGGGGTCGCGGGAGGCCCGCGACGCGACCGATCAAAAAATAATCGACGAGCAGTTGACGACGGCAACGCATGGGTAGTAGATGTGCCCTGCGACGAAAATCTACGACGAACCCGTGACGAACCCGTTTCATCCGCAATCTATCTAGTTTTACTGTGTAATCTACGTACATATAATTAATAAAACCTATATTAAAGGGATTTAACTTCTTCGCAAGCAGGTAAAAAAAAGATAAAATAAAATTGTTGCCTGGTAAATCCTTCAGGTCCCGGGAAAATAGCCATCAGATCGAAGTTTGTACCAGAATACCACCCTTCTTCATTGGGATCACGAAGGCACTTCACAATTAAAAATTACGAATTCCCAAAAATTTCGGAGAAATTCACTGTAAACCTTCCACTTGCTCACCTTTACTCCTTCACACCTCTCACCACATTTTTTCACCACTTTCTCCGGAACCAAAAAGTCCTGCCCAATCACAGCACAATTTTTCCTTCCGTTTGCATATTCTTATTAATTTATAAATGCAATGATTATATCACAGTTGTAATAGTTATTCAAAAAGGGACAAATTATCATTAAAAAGAAAAAAGATAACAGAAAAAAAAAGTTGGGAACCATGGACCTTGAACCGTGGACAGTTAGATTGCGAGTGAATCGTTTTACCCCGGAGCTAAGCATTTATATGTGTTAGTTTGTCATGCTTCTCAATGTAAGGAGTAACTAACTTTAATTGTTAATATCTTTTAAACAATTAGCCGTCTGCCCCCAAAAGGGGGTATAGGCGTGTTCAGAGCGACGAGCTCTACAAGGTGGCAAAGTTTCATTAATAAGTGAGCGTAACACTTGGGTAGTTAGTGTCGAATACGACATTACACTCACATTTAGGATGCGGTTCACTTTCGGTTCCGATATACCAATATACACATATTTTGAATATCTACTCTTATACGGGTGCACTATCAGAGTATAGAGAGCGATTTCGACTGACTCTTGATCTAAAATCAGCTTGGTTATATTTTACGATAAATATCAATTCGATAGCGGATATCTACAATTTCCTGATAATCGAGTGGAAACCACGAATATGAGATACCACGGTTTTAACTTTGATGCAATATTAACACTTTTAAAACTCATAGCATATCAAATATTACGACGAATAAAATACTCTCCCATAGCAATAGGTATCATTGTTTTGTTTAATCTTTGAACAGCAGAGCCTTGGTCATACGTGTCTCAACTTTAGAAAATGTATACAAGAGTATTAACCTAAGTTTGAATGTATAATTTTTAAACGTGTAGGGAGAGAAAAAGGGCGTTTTGTCTCTGGATCATTTGCCAGACTCGTCAGTAGGGCTGACGACGGACGATCCCTGCCCCAGACGCCTATAACCCCGCTTTTCGGAACTCATATACAGGATGTCCCAGAAAGAGTGTTAGTCCTTTAAAGGGGTGGTAGCTGGGATGATTCTGAACAACATTTTCCTTTACAAAAATGGTGTTTGAAGCTTCGTTTTTGAATTATTAAAGAAAACCATTGGCCAATCAGAGCGCCCATAGCGCGCGGGCTCAGGGGCGAAAGCCTCGACTACGAAAGCTGGGCTTGACCTAAGTCCCCAGCCGTATCTGAGCCTACGCGCAATGCGCGCTCTGATTGGCCAGTGTTTTTCCTTAAAAAATCACCCCAGCTACCACCCCCTTAAAGGACTAACAATCTTTCTGGGACACCCTGTGTTGAATCGCATGCTGGGGGACCGCCAGCGAGAATAGATTCAATCCCGCTGCCACCTGGCGGTCGCCGACCCGAGCTAAGGGCGTCCAAGGAGACTCACCGCTTTTCCCCTTCCACTAAACGCCTACAAATGGAAGGGTCTCATATATTGAAAGAATAATATTTGAAGAAACAGTGTATAATTTAGAAAATGTAATACAAAACTGAATTACAATTGGGGCTCTCTACGTGGTCCGCCATCCGAGGGTTACCAAGCGTTTTAGCTTCTGGCCGTAGTGGAAAGTTTCCACGCGTGCTTTTTCAAGTGAAAACTTTGGAATATTTTGTGAGTTTTAAAAAAGCAAAATCGATAAGTTATACTGTAATAATCATAGTATTAGTATACTAAAGGATATTTGAAATATTTGTGTTTTGATTATGATATACAATAACAGGTAGTAAAATGACAAGTTGGTAAAAATATGAGATAATTGATTGGTAGTAATATGAAATAAAATGTGCATATTTTGCGATAAACATTTTCTGAAGATTGTAAATGCCAATTGTGGATTGAATGCTTATCGTGGCACTTATGAGCAAAATAAAATTAACGCTTCGTTTAATTGGTTGTCTTATTATATTTGACGTTCTATTATGTTTAATTTATCATTATTAATATTCTATATTAGTTTCATAATTTTATTTTTCTCAGAAGTAACACTGCCTCATAATACTACCCTTTCGATTAATTCGAGTTTGCCATCAATTATAAAAAGTGTTCTGTAAAGTTTATAATATTTATACATCACATTTTGCATGAAATTTCTCAAGTTTCTATGTTCTGTTTATAATCATTCTGAAAATCTCTATATTTTGAGAAATAAAATTGGTATCCCATATTCGTACCCCTTCTATGCTTGAAAATCTATATAAATGACAAATCGTTCACGTAGCAATATAACGAGAGTCTACTGTATATTTAATTCCAGTTTAAAGAAAGGTTTCTGTTTAGAGCACATAAATTATTTATAAACATTAATTTTGTCTATTAATTATATGAAATAATTAATTCGTAGTAGGGTTGAATAAACAGCAAAATTAAAATTTTATATAATTAATATTTTGATTGGATTAATTAAAACTGATCATTATGTTCCATAATATATATTCCATTGATTATGAATGTAAATTTTAATACTTAATTTTCTAATTTTCTATTTACGTTGAAGACTAAATTCTTTAGAAAACAAGCAAGTACCCGAATTCTTTTAGAAAGTGAACCAGGATACATTTTCAAAACTGTTTGCACAAAAGTAACACGTATTCCACGTCTAGGTCGAGTTTATGATAATTTTATACAACTTGTTTCTTACCTTTTTTCACCTGCGAAAACTTTCAATGGAAATTAGTTCTACTGGAAAAAAAACTCGTAGTCCCTTGCTTATAATAATACGAGTAAAGTGACGTGAAGTTTCGAATCTTTGGTAGTTACGATAATACTTCTGTGATAGTATAAAGTTTGCAAATGTGAAATGCTTTAAAAGTCTTTAACCTAATTTTTTTTTATCGTTAGAAAAAAATGAGAAATAGTCCTCTGAAAACAGAGAAGAAATATGATTGCAAATAAAGTATGGATTATTAAATTTATATGTACAGTCTCATTTATTCACTTAAATATTATACTTATTATTTATTGTACACAGTGTAGGACAACTGTTGCACTCGCCACATTGTAATATTTTGAAATTCTTTTAAAAATTTTTTAATGTCAGAATTCTGAAATGTAGAAAATCTGAAATTTAAAAATTCTGAAATTCAAAAATTTTTAAGATTTGTAATGTTAGGTTTCTGAAATATAGAAAATTTGAAAGTTTAGAATTTTTAAGATTTGTAATAGAATTCTGGAATGTAGAAAATCTGAAATTTTAAAATTTTTAAGATTTGTAATATTAGAATTCTGAAATGCAGAAAATTTGAAATTTTAGAATTTTTAAGATTTGTAATGTAAGAATTCTGGAATGTAGAAAATCTGAAATTTTAGAATTTTTAAGATTTGTAATAGAATTCTGGAATGTAGAAAATCTGAAATTTTAGAATTTTTAAGATTTGTAATAGAATTCTGGAATGTAGAAAATCTGAAATTTAAAAATTTTTTAAATTTGTAATATTATAATTCTGGATTATAGAAGTAAGATTATAGACCGAGTCCACCCTAGTTACGCGAATGAAATGATCGCACCAGCTGAAATGTTCGCTGTCCGCTTTTCGCCCGCTTGGTCACCGCTTGTAAAACATTTCCAGTCAACCTTCAGTCCATTCGATAATCCGCTTGTCAGTCTGTTCCCCATCCGCTCGCCGTCTGTCCTACAACAACTGTCCGATAATATAATATGTTCCATATCCACTTTCTCAACGTTATTCGCTACCAATACGCTTTGCTGGCTGCAGCTTGTCCGCTTCTCATCTGCCTTTATTTTTTTCAGGAACTCTTGCTCGATTATTCCACGTCTTATATAAAATGTCCCAATAATCATGTTACATTGGAAAAGTAGTTGATTTCACATGAAAAAATAAATCAAAATTATACAGAGTGTTTCTTGCATCTGGATAGACATATATTTCTAAAATGATAGAAGCTAAAAAAAAATTTCATTAGAATGAAGCATGTTCCAATGCATGTGTAGGTTCAAAAATTCCAACGTCATCTTGAACTACATAATTTTCTATACGACAATCGAAGCGTCATTTTATTTTCCATAAAAAAGTATAATGGCATGTGGGTCGAAAATTGATTAGTTCAAAAGATATCTTGGAGAGAGATCACTAGGCTCTTCCTGTCTCTTCCTAAAATATCTTTTGAACTAATCAATTTTCAACCCAAGTATTCTATAATTTTTTGTAGAAAATAACAAGATGCAAAATTCCAAAATAGATTTTTCAAATTAAGAGAGCCTAGTGAAGATAGTCTTGAAATCTTTGACTAATGAAATTTTACTCCACCTTTGTAGTATATTTACGAGTTCATTTTGACTAGATATGATTTGCACGTGTTAGGTTAGGTTAGGTTAGGTTTCGCGGACCAATCAGATTATAGTTAGAAGCAATATGGCGTCATAACCTATAAAATACACTAAAAACGCTCAATTTTACATACGCATAACTTTTGAACCAAGAGATTCCTAAAGTTAGGAACCACATTTCTGGATTCTACTCATCGAAAACTATTAAATAGCAAACAAGAAGATCAATAATTTTATGTTCTCTAAAGTAAAGTTTAACCAATCTTATTAGGGGATGGTACAGAAAATGACTATAAAAAATTATTTCATAAATTCAGGCGTAATCGAAACGAGTTCTGGCGGAAGAGATGCTTCGAGACGAGGACGAGACCAAGTTCGAGGCGCGGGTGTTTCAGGGACACGTTAGCGTGGGTCGGACCGGAACTGGCATGATTCACGTCGCGGAGAAGTCGTGAGACTCGCGGAATACTAGCACCGCTGTGTGGCCGAGTTCGTATCACTTTGTTTGCGCGCTTCTAAACGTTTTTCTACGAGTTAACTAACGGCTCTTTAGTTGCAGCTATCATATTATATTTATTCAAAATAGATACTCGTTTATTTGAATTTCCGTTATTCGGATACTCTCCTACTGCAGTGGGTATACACCAACCAGTGTGACCACGCAACATGCCGCTTTAGGTTATGTTTACACGTGGCAGTAAATCGTGACAATCAATGTCATGACTTTGATCATTGCGCAAATTAGAAATCGCAATGTCATAACAGTGGATTTTGCATGAAAACATGAATTTTATTCAAATTTCATCTAAAACTTACGCTCTTCAAAAAATGTATTCAACAATTAAAATGAAACAGTATTTCAGAGAAAACATTAAAAAGAATTTGGGTGTAAGGACCAAGGTGAAGCTGACCCCCCTAAAAATGTAGACCTTCATCATTCAAAAATTTGAAGATTTCAAAATTCCAGAATTACAAAATTACAAAATTCTGAGACTCTAAGATTCTAAAATATCAGAATCCCAGAATTTCAAATTTTTAAAATCACAAATTGTCGAAGTTCCATAATTACAAAATGTTAAAGTTTTTAAATCCCAAAATTGCAGAATTCCACAATTCCAGATCCTAAAAATGTCAAAATTCTAAAATGTCTAAAAGATCTGGTTAACCCCAGAAGATGATCCAAGTTATAGCTAGATGGGCGCCTTTAGACTAACTTGAACTTGTCCACTGATAAGCAACTACATAAAGGTTCAACAGCTTCTAGATTAATATATTAAGTCATTTACTTCAGGGTAAATATCATAATATTTAAACTGCCAACCTTTTGCAATAAGCCAGGATTACAAAATCATCAGCATTGGCTGCAACAAAAAGTAGGCTATTTATTGATAAAGAATTATACCGAAGTGTCAATCGCTGATTTCGATGAAACTTCAGTATAATGTAGTATTTATAAAAATATTAACTTGGTGAAATTCATTTTAAAGGGTGAAAACAGCCCTCAAAGTTGGGGGTGTTCGACCTATTTTGATGAATATCTCGGAAACTATTAGAGTTACAGCAATGGTGTTCA